GGCGGCTTAGATGAAAAAAAAAAATCTAAAACAACTTTTTGGTGTTTTAAGAAAAGCGTTTATTTTTTGGATTTTGTAAAGGGTCAAGTCAAAAAATCGCCCCGATTGCCAAACACGTTTTATTGTTTTTTTAAAAATAAAAATAAAAACGACAAAAACGTCATGGTTGCCAAACGCTCCCGAAAATAGATTGATTTCTTTTTAATCGTGTTTTATGTTACTAACTCACTTATTTACGTAGCAGTTACTTGATAATACATAAAAAGTTACTCAAATTATCATTTATTTATTTTTACAAAACATATACATTCCTTGTTACCAACTTTTTCTCCATCATTGAATATGAAAATTTGACACATCAACCCAGCAGAAATATTGTCCCCCAATTTCGAACCTTGATATTGAATTATGAGCAATTATGATAAATATTTCATATCTTATTCATTAATTTAGTATTTGTATTATTACTAATTATATTTATATTTTTTCTTATCTTTTATAACAGATGAAAAATTTCACGGCATGTAAGTCTATTCAAAAATCATTTTCAATAAAAACTGTGGTTAATCATGAAGTGATCGAAATCTCTTCAAGTGTGGAAAAAAAATCAATGTTAAACAATGTGCTATCAGACGATGATGAAGAACCGTTTATTGAAAAGTTATTTAATGACGAGGAGGAAAAAAGTATGAAATGAGCAAGAAAAAGAAAAAAACAAATATTTGATTCAGACTATGAACCCAGTGAAGACAAACTAGGAAAAGATCAATTTTCTTCTGAGAGTGATGCTGCTACAACTAAGAATGATGATGAAACCTCAAGCTCGATCAACCGTAACATGGTTAAAATTGAAGATGAAGAAGATGCTGATAAAGTTTTTAAACAAGCAATGATAATGCTTGGAGCACTTTGGGAATGTCATCAAGAAAAGAAAAAGAAGCGAATTAAGAATATATGATATGACTTAGTATCAAATAAATAAAATTAAGTATCGGTTAGTTGACCGTTGAAGTTTGTGACCGTTGAAGTTTGTGAGTATTTTGTTTCTGTCTCGTGTTTGTTAGTAAGTCAAAATTTGTGATGTTTTATATGAAAATTTTAATCTATATTAGTTTTATTTGTGCACTGAATTATGCCTTTGTTTATATTGGCTTTCGATTTGTGGGCTACCTGTTTAGTTAGATTATATGACACAAGATGGGAGTTAGAATTGTTGATAATGAATACAACAGCATATTTCTTAACTTTATTTTACTTCTTTAAGTTAGTTTGGTATGTTTAATTTTGAAGGAATCATATTCTTTGATGCTTATTGTTGGAATAAGAACCAATGTGACAGTTGACGACTTTAATTTATAGGATGGAATTTGCTTGTTAAGTGACTGTTGTTAGTTAGCATTTAGCTTTCTTCTCTTTCGAGATTGGATCATTGCCCTTAGTTTTTTTTATTCTTATTGGTTGTTCTTTCTTTGATTCATTACTACTTCATGGACAAGAGAATACTAAGGACTTTCTTCCACTGTGAAAGGATGTTTTAGAGTTTAAGCCAGCATTAGAGAAGCTTTTAGATTTGTTCCTTAAGGCTGCATCCTGTTTAGAACAGTGGTAGGTTTAATCTTAAGCCGTGATAAAAGCAAGGGCTATTTTATGTAGGTCGATTAATTAGCAGGAAGACTTGTTGGATATCTATTTAAAAGTTTAGAATTTAGACTATTAGGGCAAAGTGAAATATGTAGCAAAGTTAGAAGAAAAAAGGATGGTATAATACGAAACTGTTAAATAATCAAACTAGGATGCATTTTGTTTCCTTTACTTGTAACCAGTTGATAGTTGAATTGTTGTCAAGGTGCATTGAAGAGTTTGCGAGCAGATGAAATTAATTAAATCATCTTTTTAAGACATCTTATGAAAACTATGATCTATAAAGCAGATGCTCATTTGGCCGCCAGCCTATACTCGGTCAAAGTTACCATTCTACCCACCTACTACCACTATAAGTATGAGTACTATTTTCCACAACAGGGTAAGATCTTTATCTCTACCTACTGTGCTTATAAATTACAGTTCAGTTACTTCTCCACTCAAGTAAATTACTGACTTGATCTTCGGAGGAACAATCAGAGAGCCCAACTCCGCTCTCTTACGATCTGTTATCTGTGCAGTGAAGAACAACCCACCTCAGAACTGGACATTTGGAGGGTTAGAGGACCTCCGACAACCAATTAACTTCGATCTCATTAACTGTTTGATGTCAGCCATCAATAGAACCTGAAGAGTCAAATATTATTTGAAGTAGCATTACGTATAAGATATTTAGTTATATTTCTTTTGTTAGAATAAGTTGTAAAAATTTTTTTAAGTAGCCTACAAAGTTCAATCGTTCATTTAAGATATTTATGTTATTGAGTTTTTATATTTTTGTTCAAGCTGTTGCATTTGCAGTAGAAGTTGTTAGCTTGTTCGTTTCTACGGAAGATAACTGTGAAGGTGATGTTTATAGTAGGTACTCTCATATAAGTAAAATGTTTGTTCTGATGTTGTGTATTTAGATTCTGCTCTATGCAAAATGAGTTTTTAATAAAAATTACAAGATTACTACATGCAATTTTAGTTGTCCTTCAAATGTTTCATCTCATGTGATTTCTTATCATGCATCACGTGCAATGCACGTATTGCATAATAGTTTAAGCAAATAAGGATAGTTTGTACTTGTCATGTACTCTATCACGGTGGATTTTAAATCTCAATGATAAAATTTAGCTGTAAAAGTAGAATTGGAAATTGGAAATCATGAGTCTGAGTATAATCAAACTATAGATAAGGATTGTGAAATCCCAGGGACAAAGCATATCAAAATTAAGTCCTCAAATTTACCGATATTCCTCCCTCGATCTGCAAAAATTTTCAAATAAGGTCCGTAACGTGACATGTGAAAAAAATAATACTAGCACTAGCACCAGACAAGTCAACACAATTGTTATTTAAGACATGCGAGAAAACTGCAGTAGATTTCCATATAAACAGTCAAAATAAGATGCAAGAAGAATTGAAACAACTTGTAATAGGAAACAGAGGCATGGAGGGTAAAGCAAGAAAAAAATATGAGATATCATGAACAATTAACATGACAAAAACATGTAGCTCACAGAGAGCTCTGTTTATTCACAACATCTTTATCTCAGAACAAGCACATATATCAAATCACACCACAAAATACCCCATAAGATTTAGGGAAAGGAAAGGAAGATCTTTGGACATTAAAAAAAAAAAAAAAACTACAGTT